CAGCCCAGTCAAATTCACAAGGACGAAACTTTAGTGTACGGAAAACCACTCTATAGATACTAGCACATGAACAACCCAATAACAAAGGGCCATTTGGGGCCACACAGTGCAAAAGTTAAAAAGGATTAGCGTATAATTAGACCAAATTTTAAAGAGCTGAGGGACACAATTAGACGACATAGAAGTCCCAGAACCAACAATCTGTTTATTGATGTTCCGCCCAAAAAAAAGAGGTGTCGTTGATAAGGCCCTTATACAAACACAAAAAAGGCGTCCTTTACTTAAAAGCCCAATCAACAACGTTTTGGGATGCCACATTTATGGAGATACAATCATGACTGTTATATACTCGCTCGTCCTGGCAATTCCTGATACGACCCGATAACCCGACACGATACGACACGAAATTAACAGGTGTTTGGGTCGACATGATAACGAATCGGGTCGTTATAGGGTAACCCGATAAGCACTTGTTAAGATAACAGGTTGATTCGGGTATACACGTGGGTAACACTATACACGATAAGCAGAATATTATTTTTATAATTTTATAACCCTAAAAAAATACTGTAATAATTATATACATTAATTTAACAATTTTATACCCCTACAAACTATAATAAATAAATAAAAAATATATATATATATTAAATTAACTATAAAGTCTATAATAATTATAATAATTATATATACTATAATAATTATAACCCCAAAATATTAACTATCTATAATAATTATATAATTATATATATATATATATTAAATTTTGAATTAAATTTTATAAAAACTATAATAATTATTAATTAATATGCATGATGCATGATGCATCCATTGATTTGATTCCATTCCATTCCTGCCACCCTTTTTGAAGAAAAATGGAGGGAAAATGAAAATGATAAGAAAAATTGAAAATGAAACAAAAAAGTGAGGGAATTAGGGAAAGATGCTGGAGGGAAAAGTAAAAATTATAAGAAAAGTTGAAAAGGAAACAAAAAAGAGAGGGAAAAATGAAAATTAATAGAAGTGGTGAGAAATTTTTTTTTTTTTTTTTTTTTTTAAAGTTATTAACTTTTTATCACGCATATTACATATTTCACTATTTTTATAATGACACACGTGATGTATTACTCCGTGTACCAGTCAATTATACGTACAAAATAAATAGATTTAAATCTACTTAATAAATAAATATATATGTATATATGTATATATGTGTGTGTGTGTGTGTGTATATATATATCCATATACACCATTGGAGCTTGATGGGATACGAATTCTCCGAAACTAATTTGAAAGATCTCAACCGTCAAACTTGTTTGTATATGCTTTGAGATCACATCACCAAAAAATCGCAAAAAATAAACATTCAGAGATCAAGTAATGTGACAAAGCTTTTCGACGGTTATAAACGAAAAATCACGATTTAACGGTTATTTTAACTTCGATTTTGATAATTTTTTATAGCTACACTCCTTGACCCTATATGAATACAATGAATGAATTCGATCTTCAATTTAAAATATTTACACAAGTGGATACTACAAAATCTTATGTTATACTTGATGAAAGTATAAATAAACTCTTAAGTGTTAATTAATCTATTGTTTTTATGGGATACGAATTCTCTTAAATTAATTTCAACGATCCCAACCGTCAAACTTGTTTGTATATGCTTTGAGATCAAATCAGCAAAAAATCACAAAAAACAAACATTCAGAGATCAAGTAACGGGACAAAACATTTCAACGGTTATAAACGAAAAATCACGATCTAACGGTTATTTTAACTCCGATTTGATGATTTTTTACAATTACACTCCTTGACCCTATATGAATACAATGAATGAATTCGATCTTCAATTTAAAATATTTACACAACTGGATACCCCAAAATCTTATGTTATACTTAATGAAAGTATAAAGAAACTCAGTCAATCTATCATTTTGATGGGATACGAATTCTTCAAAACTAATTTCAACGATCCAAATCGTCAAACTTGTTTGTATATGCTTGGAAATCACATCAGCAAAAAATCACAAAAAACAAACATTCAGAGATCAAGTAACGGTACAAAGCTTTTCGACGGTTATAAACAAAAAATCACGATTTAACGGTTATTTTAACTCTGATTTTGATGATTTTTTACAGCTCCACTCCTTGACCCTATGTGCATACAATGAATGAATTCGATCTTCAATTTAAAATATTTACACAAGTGGATACCACAAAATCTTATGTTATAGTTAATGAAAGTATAAATAAACTCTAAGTGTTAGTCAATCTATCGTTTTGATGGGATACGAATTCTCCAAAACTAATTTCAACGATCTAAACCTTGGAGATCACATCAGCAAAAAATCATAAAAAACAAACACTCAGAGATCAAGTAACCAGACAAAGCTTTTCGACGGTTATAAACAAAAAATCATGATTTAACGATTATTTTAACTCCGATTTTGATGATTTTTTACATCTACACTCATTGACCCTATATGAATACAATGAATGAATTCGATCTTCAATTTAAAATATTTACACAAGTGGATACCACAAAATCTTATGTTATACTTAATGAAAGTATAAATAAACTCTTAAGTGTTAGTCAATCAATAGTTTTAATAGGATACGAATTCTCCAAAACTAATTTCAACGATCCAAACCGTCAAACTTGTTTGTATATGCTTGGAGATCACAAAAAACAAACATTCAAAGATCAAGTAACGGGACAAAGCTTTTCGACGATTATAAACGAAAAATCACAATTTAACGGTTATTTTAACTCCAATTTTGATGATTTTTTTACAGGTACACTCCTTAACCTTATATGAATACAATGAATGAATTCGATCTTCAATTTAAAATATTTACACAAGTGGATACCACAAAATCTTATGTTATACTTAATGAAAGTATAAATAAACTCTTAAGTGTTAGTCAATCTATCGTTTTGATGGGATACGAATTCTCCAAAACTAATTTCAACGATCCAAACCGTCAAACTTATTTGTATATGCTTGGAGATCACATTAACAAAAAATCACAAAAAACGAACATTCAGAGATCAAGTAATGGGACAAAGCTTTTCGATGGTTATAAACGAAAAAACACGATTTAACAGTTATTTTAACTCCGATTTTGATGATTTTTTACAGGTACACTCCTTGACCCTATATGAATACAATGAATGAATTTGATCTTCAATTTAAAATATTTACACAAGTGGATACCACAAAATCTTATGTTATACTTAATGAAAGTATAAATAAACTCTAAATGTTAGTCAATGTATCGTTTTATTGGGATACGAATTCTCCAAAACTAATTTTAACGATCAAACCGTCAAACTTGTTTGTATATGCTTGGAGATTACATCAACAAAAATCACAAAAAACAAACATTCAGAGATCAAGTAACGAGACAAAACTTTTCGACGGTTATAAACAAAAAATCACGATTTAACGGTTATTTTAACTCCGATTTTGATGATTTTTTACAGGTACACTCCTTGACCCTATATGCATACAATGAATGAATTCGATCTTCAATTTAAAATATTTACACAAGTGGATACCACAAAATCTTATGTTATACTTAATAAAAGTATAAATAAACTCTAAGTGTTAGTCAATCTATCGTTTTGTTGGGATACGAATTCTCCAAAACTAATTTCAACGATCCAAACCGTCAAACTTGTTTGTATATGCTTGGAGATCACATCAACAAAAAATCACAAAAAACAAACATTCAGAGATCAAGTAAAGGGACAAAACTTCTCGACGGTTATATACGAAAAATCACGATTTAATGGTTATTTTAATATATTTTTATATGGTATAGTATTATTATTTTATTTCTTTTCATAATTATTTTGGTTAACTTCTCATAATTTGAATGATTTTTAATGTTCGGTTTTTCTATACTTAGTTTATGCGGAAGAGAGTTCTGACGTGGAAAATCTTACTGAAAACATCTTCAACATAACTCTTCAAGGCAATAGATCAAGCCAAAGTTTCAATACAATTTCATGATGATCGATGTAAATTGAAGATTTTGTAGATAGAGGTGTAAACTTTTGAGAAAGACTTACAATCTTGAAAACAAAAGCTCTTTCATTTTGCATATCCTTGCACATTTAATATTTGTAACAGAATAGTAGTGTATGTATTTTTTTTTTATTAGGCTCTTATTTTCAAGTGTAAATATAGTACTTAAACGACAAATGTTTTAATGTTTTAAAGTAATATTTATGTGGCAATGTGTGGTATGTGCAAATTTAAAAAAAAAATATATATTTTTTTCTTAACGGGTCATAACGGGTTGGGTCACTTTACCCAAGTCATAACGGGTTGGGTCACTTTACCCGTTGGGTAAAGTGACCCGACCTGTTAAGGATCCGTTAAGATAAAGGGTGTGACACGACACGACCCGTTAAGATAACAGGTGTTACATGAAAACGACACAAACACGACAGACACGACCCGTTTGCCAGGCCTACTCATACTAACAAAAATATGCAATTCAACACTCTTTTAGACACAAAATTAAGGGTTTGTTTGATATTGTTTTTTTCACTAAAAAATGCTTCACATTAAAGTTAAGCAATAAAAAAATATTTGGTAAAAGTAAAATATCTTGCTTATTTTAAAAACAATAAGCTTCAGACAACAGTTTTTAAAAGTAGCATGTAGGTTACTTTTAAAAGCTGCATTAATAAAAAGCAAAGTTGGGTATTTAATAAGGGAAGTGTTATTGGTACTCCAAAAATCTCATTCTACACTCTTCACAAGTGTATTTTTCTTTCCAAATAAAGAAAGTTTGGAGTGTAGAATGAGATTTTTAGAGTGCTAATAACAATTTCCTTTAATAATTATTTTCAATTATTGTAATACTTTCATTAATTTTTCTTTAAATAATATTATTTAGCCTGCCACACACATTCTATCCCTTAGAGAATAAAGTAAACGCTACCACCTACCACTACAAATACTAACCCTACACCATCACCACTCATTTTTGCCATCACCATCGCCATAACCACAACCTCCACCATTGTCATCACTACGATCATTGTCACCACCATCACTACCGCCACCCCCACCGCTACCAATGCCACCACCACCACTACCACCATTATTACCACCATCGATGCCTTCATCGCCGCCGCCGCCACCACTACCATTACTGCAACTGCCACCAATGGCACCACAACCACAAGTGCCACTACCACCATCATTGCCGCCACCACAACCACAATTGCCACTACTAGTGCTACCATCGCCCTACCACCATTGTTACCTTTCCACCCCAACCAACATATCCCACTATTAGCACCACCATCACACCTCTACCGCAACCACCACAACCATTACCACCAATGCTGTTGTGGCCCCCACTCCTATTACTATGTCCATTTGTCATTGTATATGATTATGTCACTTTTAGGTATCCCTGTCCCTTGTGTTGTCTTAACATTTACCCAGCTTTTGTTTCACTTTCTAGATGTTGTAATATTTTTACCGAGCGCAATGGTGTTCTAAGATTCATGTACCCGACCCCACTTAGTGGGAAAATGCTTTGTTGTTGTAATCTTTGTATTTCTGCTGCTGATTTCTCTTCTCAAAATTTGGTTTATCAGGAACAAATTAAGATGGTGGAAGCTGGTGCTTTAGAACCAATAATTATTTTCCTTCAATCACAAAGTTGCAAACTTTAGGAGTATGCAACTGCAGCTCTACTCACCCTATCGGCTTCTGCCATCAACAAGCTAGTTATAGGTGCTTCTGGTGCCATTCCTCTTCTCGTCGAAATCCTTAGACATGGAGCCCCACAAGCCAAAGTCGATTCAGTAATGGTGTTTTCCAATCTTTCCACACACCCTGCAAACCTAAGCATCATTCTTGAAACAAAACCAATTCCGTCCATATTTTCCTTATTGAAACCCTGCAAGAAATCTTTAAAAATGGCTAAGAAATGTTGTGCTCTAATAAAATCTCTAGTGGGATTCGATGAGGGCAGAACTGCCTTCACATATGAAGAAGGCAGAGTGCTAGCAATGATTGAGGTGCTTGAAAATGGATTACTCCAAAGTCAGGAGCACGCTGTAAGTGCTCTACTAACAATGTGTCAAAGTGACAGGTGCAGATATAGAGAAGCGATCCTTAAGGATGAGGTAATCCCTGGACTTCTTGAGCTGACAGTTCAAGGAACGCCCAAGTCTCAGACAAAAGCACATACGTTTTTGCACTTATTAAGGGACGCTTTTGCACTTATTGAGGGACTCTTCGTACCCCAGATCAGAGCTTCAGGCAGACACACTGTGTTAGTGTGTAGTATTTAGCTAAGTTATGTAAGATAACAATAAGAAGATGATTGAGGAATGCGAATGTTCTTCTTCTCTGCAGAAGTTGCAGAGAGAAATATATATATATTTCTTCTAATTGAAATGAGCACGCACACATGCACTTTTTACAACCGTTTTGCCTTACCTGGATCCAAAACACAAACCATTTGATCTCAGCCACATATCTAGCTAACTTTTAGGATCACTACACATGACTAATTTAGCCTTACACATTTGAGCCTTACACTTGTCATTTTTAAGACTAAGTGCATACACAATTAACATTAAAGGACTTCTTATTTACTCATCAGCTCATTACTTACAATTGTACACTCCCCTTTAAGTTTTGAGTTGATTTCACTCCAAGTTTATCTCTGAGATAGCAGAACCGATCCTTAGCCAATGACTTTGTGAATATATCTGCTAGCTGTTCATTTGTGGGACAGTAAACAAGATCAATAATTCCTTCTTGTAGTGCATCCTTGATGAAATGATATCTTCGATCAATATGCTTAGTTTTCTGATGGAACACAAGATTCTTTGTGATGGCAATTGTAGCAGTATTGTCACACTGAAGTGGAGTAGCCTCAGTTTGAAATTCACCAAAGTCCTCTAACACAAATATGAGCCAAATTGCTTGTGCAGTTGCCTCTGATGCACTAATATACTCTGCTTCAGCAGTAGAGAGTGCTACACATGTTTGATTAAAGCCCAAGAGAAAATTCCACTACCAAAGGAGAAAGCATACCTTGTGGTGCTTTTACTGTCATAAACTAAACCACCCCTGTCACTATCACAGTAACCGATTAGAATTGCATTTCTTCCTTTCACATACTCTAAGCCATAGTCAAGTGTTCCTTTGATATACCTGAGAACCCTTTTGGCAGTACCATAGTGTTTGTTGGTAGGACAGTGCATGAACCTTGCAAGTAAACTAGCTGCATACATCACATTGGGTCTTGTAGCTGTGAGATACAATAGGCTTCCCACAATTTTCCTATATTGTTCTTCATTTACTGGACCACTGCCATCATTTTTACTAAGCTTATCAGTGGTAACCAAGGGTGTAGCAATAGATTTACACTCATTCAAGCCAAATTTGTCCAACAAAGATATAGCATACTTTCTTTGATGAAGAAAAATGCTTGTGTGTATTTGGATGACTCCCATTCCCAGAAAATGATGCAAGAGCGCCAGATCTATCATTTCATACTTGTCATCATATCTCTCTTGAATTCCTCCAACATTTGTTGACTATTACCCGTGTACACAATATCATCTACATATAGAGACACAATTAAGCTTTCTGCTTCTCCTTTGGTTTTAATGTAGAGAGTGGCCTCACTTTGACTCTTCTCAAATCCACATTGAGTGAAATAAGAGTCAATTTCACTATACCAGGCCCTTGGTGCCTGTTTTAAGCCATATAAAGCTTTATGAAGCTTGTACACCTTGTCTTCACTCCCATTGACCACAAAACCATCTGGCTGTTCTACATAAACCTCTTCTTTGAGTACTCCATTCAGAAAAGCAGACTTGACATCAAGTTGATATAGTTTCCAACTTTTCTGTGCTGCCAATGCAAGTAGTGTTCGAATTGTATCAAGTCTAGCCACAAGTGCAAAGGTCTCATTATAGTCAACACCTAGTTTCTAAGCATATCCCTTGGCTACTAGCCTTGCTTTATTTTTCTGCACTGATCCATCAAGATTAAGCTTGGTTTTGAACACCCACTTAACCCTAATTATAGGTTTATCAGTGGGTCTGTCCACTAGCTTCCATGTTGCATTCTTTTCAATCATTTGCAGTTCATCTTTCATAGCTATCATCCATGATTCATCCTTAGTTGCCTCAACAAACTTTTCAGGTTCCATAATGCAGAGATTGCATTGAGCTAGAACATCATCCAAGTTCCTCCACCTCAATGGAGTGTGATCAAAAGCTTGAGATTTTCTCATACTGCTACTCACATGACTTACTGATTCTTGAAAAGATAATAAGCTTGGTGTTTGGGCATAGTTCTGACCTTCAGGAGTTGTTCCAAGTGATGTACCCTTAGGCATATCAGGTAGCTCATCAAGATTAAGCATAGTTACATAATTTTTAGAGAGCTTCTTCCACTCCCAAGCTACATTTTCATCAAACACACACATCTCTCGAGAGTATAAGTTTCTTAGTAAGAGGATCATACACTATGTACCCCTTTTCACAAGTGGCATAACCTACAAATATGCCCTTGACACTCTTTGCATCTAGTTTCTGTCTTAACTCACTTGATATGTGTACATAGCACAAACAACCAAAGACTCTAAGATGTGCAATCCCTGGTTTTTGACCACTAAATGCTTCAAATGGAGTTATATCTCCGAGAGCTTTTGTAGGACACCTATTTGGTATGTAGACATTTGTGTGTACAGATTATGCCCACAAGTAGTAAGGTAATCATTTATCATGAAGCATGGCTTTTGCCATTTCAATTATAGTTCTGTTCTTTCTCTCTACAACTCCATTCTGTTGTGGAGTATACGTCATAGAAAGTTGTCTTTGAATACCTTCATCTTCACACAACTTGTTAAACTCAAAAGATGTGAATTCACCCCCTCTATCACTTCTCAGGCATTTTACTTTACAACAACTCTATAGCTCTACCATAGATTTGAATTTTCTAAAACAATTCAATGCATCTGACTTGTATTTGAGAAAATAAACCCACATCATTCTTGTGCAGTCATCTACAAGAAGCATAAATTACTTGTTACCGGCTATAGACTCATTTTGCAAAGGTCCACATAGATCCACATGAATCAACTCTACTGGGTTGTTTACTTTCCATGCCTGATTCTTTGGGAACTACTGTTTCTGTTGTTTTCCAAGCTGACAACCTTCACACACTTCATCAACTTCTTTTAAATATGGAAGTCCATGCACCATTTCCTTCTCTTTGAGTTGTTTTAATCCTCTTAGATGCAGATGGCCTAGCCTTTTGTGCCAGGTCCAAGTAGATTAAGACAAGCTTGTTTTCAGAGCTATATGATCATCAAGCAAGAATTCTAAATGATAGCATCTATTCCTCTTCATTTCTACTTTAATTACAAGGCATTCCAGTGAAGGACCATAAAAAATGCTGCACATTTTACCTCCAAACAGCAAATAATACCCATGGTCATCCATCTGTCCCACACTCAGTAAGTTCTCCTTCAATCCAGGTAGATACATTACCTTCTTGATGTATTTTCTGCCCTTACTAGTATCAATTACTCAGCCCGCCACGAACCGAGGGTTCAGGTAATGCACACTCTCGTTTAGGCCCTTGGGGAAACGTCTTCTCCCACTAGATACGCAGAGAAGTGTTCATTCTTGACTTGGCTCATGAATCAGTGTGCATTCGAGGTTGGGTCCACACTTCGACGAGCACTCAAGACTTTCCAGGAAAATCATCCACATGAGGAGCCTATAAAGAGATTCTTCTACGAGGCAATGTAGTAAGTAGCCGCATAACGCACAAAAAAGAGCACGTGAGCAGTCCAGCTCAAGTTCCACTGACACCCCCCGCCAGACGTGATGGTGAGCAGCACAACTAGAACCATGTGCACCGCAGCCGTGGTACAGATGGACAGGACATGCTAAAGAACAACATGGACTAGCAGGTCAGCACCAAGGGTAGCTGGAGGCTCCGTTGCCCTACCAGGCGCAAATCCAAGAGGAAGTACAAAGGCTCATAGTAGAACAGCTACGCGGATTCCAGCATATTGACACTATCGACAATGCCCTCCGTAGAGACATGGCCAACCTGAGCAGTCACCCTCTACAGACAAAATCGAGCAGACGGAGCCACCGCGAGAGTTCAACCCGCCACATTTCACCTGGTTTAGAGGAAATGAATATCTAGACAGACACTTGATACACTACCAAAGTACCATGACCCTCTACGCCAACAATGATGCTCTCATGTGCAAGATCTTTGCCACGACACTACAAGGCGAGGCACAACACTAGTTCCACACCCTACCGCCACGTTTAATTCGGAACTTCGATTAACTTTCCTTGTTTTCACTAAGGAATATTCGTTTTATCGTTT